CACTGGCTGTACCTTAGTGGATGCCTCAATCCGCAGCCTATCTGATGCTGCAAGGGACGTGGCAGCTGCTTGAGAACACATAGCACAGTTGAGCAAGACAAGAACTGAAGGAAAAACACTGTCTATTTTAGCCTGAAACCACAAGAAACACAGAGATAGTCAAAAAGAATGAGCAATTTGATCAGGAAACATGAGTTAGCCATGCAGGGTTAGGATCTGGGGTTTGTATCTTGTCTGAAAGACAAAACTTCTAGTGAGATTTTTTTTTTAAAGAAGTTTATGTTTGACAATGTTTGATACCAAAAATAAACTCTCAGAGGATCATAATGTTTGATACATGATGATTTCTGACACTGTTTTCCAAATAATAATGGAAAGACTCGTCTGGCTGAAGTTTCCAGGCTTTGTTTTACAAAAGTCTTGTTCTCTGGGTTATCTGAATGTTTAACTTAGGCGGACAATTATGAATTGCTCTCATCTGGACTGAGGAAAAAAAAATCACACAGAATTACTGCCCAGGGTTTGATATGTCTATCAAGAAAAAGCGCTGTCCTTTCACAACAGCTGATATAAGGCTGGGCTGTACTAATGAGAAGCCCCACAGTCTGAATGATGAGATCTCACTACAGTTTTGGCTAAGCAGGCCCTTGCTTGGTTGTGATAGTCCATTTGCTCCCCATGTAATCGCTCAGCTCCTTCCTCTCGGCAATGCCAGACTTTGAGACCAGAACCAGCACTGAGTCCCATTTATCAGTGCTTCTTTCTAATGAAATCTACTTAAAAATGCCTGGGAAATGGTGAAGGATCAAGTGTCCCCACCACCATGCACCACTCCCCACCCGAAAGCCCCTTTCTCCTTGGGAGAGGGCAATGCCCAGCTGTTGCTCGCTCCCTCGCCGGCCTCGCCGCGGCGGCTGGGAGTTTGGAGGGGTCAGCTGGTCCCAGATGAAGCCGAGGTTTTCTGATGTAGTTGCCTGACCATCAGAAACTGGACGGCAGCCCTGAATTCTTTTCTCACAAGTCACTTGGACAGGCACCAGATGGTAAATACTTTCAGTCTCTCCTAGCCCAGCTCTGGGGTGGAAGCAGTGACCTCAAGGTAAAAGACTGCCTGGCCTGTCCCTCGTCCCTCGGGGTGGCCAGTTCTCCCAGTCTGGCTCCACTCTCCAGTTAAGGTGCAAGAACCAGAGGGAATAAAAATGGCTAGACGAGGATGGAAATGGCCATCACCATCTCTCTCGGCTCCTGCTGTTTGAAACTGGAGCTGGATTCGTTCTGGGTAGGAAACAACTTTCCCATCCTGCCAAAAATGAAGGTATTTCAAAGTTTCCCAAAGCCGAGGTGTTTCCAGAAGTCTCATGAAAAACAGCCAACAGCCACCCCAAAGTGTCCATCAGCTGAGGGAGACCTGAGATGTCTCCTTTTCATCTCAGAGGTCTTGGCTTTTCCAAGCTGGGTGTCTGTCCAGCTTTCCCACCAGTGCTGTCCACCCTCCACGGACAGCCCTGCTCCCCTGCAGCAGGGATTTGAGCCAGGAGTGCCCAGAAGAAAAGGGAATGTCCTCTCCACCAAGGTATGGAACTGGTTTCACCCTGGACCCGCGATTCCACTGCTGATGTGAAGAGGATTAGAGTCAGCAAGGACCCAGGACAGCCTAGGTTCTCCCCAGCAGAGACGAACATCCAGACCCTGGTCTGACTTCAGCCAGCTCTAGAGAGGGTGTTCAACACATGGCATAGAGTAAAGAAGGGGAGAATCTCAAGCAAAGGAAGGGGGTGGCAGGAGAACGTGGTCTGTATCCATCACAGATGGATGCAATTTCAGCAGAGCAGGGTGCACAAATGAGAACTTTGCAGAGTTATTCGCGATGGCACGTTAAATGGCACAGACATGAAAAGACCCCCAGCTGTCTAAAATGTAAATTCACCGGGTCAGTTCCTTCTTGTCTATAGAAACAGCAGAGCTTGCCAGCGGCTGACTCAAAGGAGATGTATTCAGATCCCTGTATCAACTATTTTCTTGCACAACTGACCACAAAAAAAAAAATTACAACCCCAAAAAATCCTGAGAATAATACCATGGAAACTGCGGAGCCCAACATATGGACTTAATTACTAGCTATGAAATCCCATGTATGGTGCAGAACACATATGGGGTACATGCTCCAGAGGGGAAGAGTTATAACTGAGTATTTACCAAATGAACTGCTAACGTGCTGCTCTCGTGTGGCTTCGCAAATCAAAACCCGCGCAAGGGCTATGTCGCCTTGCCGGGCTCTGCCTGCAGCCCCTGGCACCCCGGCACGGCGACCTGGGTGGGCACATGGGACCCCAACAGCCAGGAGAAGGGAAGCTCAAGCCCATGTCACCCATGGAAAAGCCTCCTCGGGAAGGCAGAGTCAAGGTGGACTTTGTGGGTACCCCTGCAGCTGGCTCCTCTGGGCACCCCAAACCCCAGAGAAGCACCACCGATGCCGATGCCGTCTGAAGTACGGGCAGCTGGCTGGGTGCGGGACGGTGTGTTTGGCTCCTGTCTGGCTGCTGGACTTGGTGCTGTGGCTCTCTGTCACTGCCTGAGCTCTGCTGGCTTCCTGGTGATGTCACACCATCACGGTGATGTCACACCATCACAGCAATGTCACCTTACTACAGCAGCATCATGGTGACATCAGGTGGAGGTGGGGCAATGTCCCCTCTTGTCCCTAGCTGCCAGAGAGGGTAAAGAAGGGGTCCTCACCCCAAAGAGCCAACCTGTTCCCAGAAGAGGGCAGGCAGTGGGCTCCCCAGGCAACCCCGAGCCCTGCTGCCCCCTGAGACCTCACCCCTGGGGCTGTTGGCTGCCCCCAGAGCTGCTCACTAAGGGCGACGAGAGAGTTTTATTTCCCTTACGAGCACTCTCACCTGGTTTCCAACTGGGAAAAGGAGTCATGCCCATTAGTCAGGAGTCCCTAATGAACACAAGCCTGGAATAATTAGCTGAACGCCCCATCCCCCTGCGGCAAGGCTGGATCAGCGCTTTGGCCGCTCTCGAGCCGTTGCTGATCGAGACGCTGCAGCCAGCTCCGGGAGGTCTGGCTGGGCTGCGGCACCCAGAGCACAGTGGCCGGCGGGAGGGCACCAGCTCCAGGGAGTGGGGGACACAGCAGCAGCATGAGATGTTCCTCCAGCCTTTGGTATCGAACCTTCCGGCTTGTGAGCACCCGTCGGCAGGGCCTGCACCCACCTGCTAGCGAGGATGGAGCAATGCATGGTCCTCACACGTCCCCTGCGACGGGCAGCACTGTCAGCGCAGAGCCCTGGATCTCCGGGCATGGCTTGGGTGATGCAGGGAGCTGGGGCTCCAACACGAGGAGTGGAGACTCCAGCGCTGGGGGAAGTTACAGCAGCCTTTGGAAGGTATCCTGATGTTTCCATAAGGTGCCATGACCTCGTTAACAGACTGATTGCAGCTAACGAAGCAAAACCAAAGTGGAGGCTCGGGAGACTGCGTGCTGCTCCCTGCTGGGCTCTGCCCTTCTGCTCTGTGCCCTGGTTCCAGGCTACGGCAAGCAGCGGAGCTGAGGTCGGGACTGCTGCTCAGGTGACTGAGGACCTGTTCTGCAAAAGCAAAAGAAAAAGAAGGGAAAAAAAGGCTGGTGGGAGTGATGGGGCATCCCTCCTAGTTGCACAATTCAAGTGCTCTTCTTCTACAGCACCCAGCCCCTTCTGTGTTTGCCAACGTATGTCATATAACATATAGCAGCAGTTCTCATCATTCCTGCAAGATACGGAGTCTGTGCACAGCTGCCAGGATCTGTCCCTTGAGCCAGGGCAGAAGCAGAGCTCCTGGCCCCCAGACCACATCCTGCAGGCAAGGGGGTGCAGGAGAGGGGCTGGGGAGAGCTGCAGGGCACCGCGCATCCTTACATGAGCTCAGGCCTTTCCTTCAAGCTCTGGACTCACAAACTCTGCTTCTTGCATCTTGTGATAAGATCTGGGGGGTGGGAACATGGAGAAGGGGCTCAGTTTCCTGAGGGTCTTGAGATGTTTAGTTTCTTCTTTCCTAAGAGCCAGCCTTGAAACCCCAGACACAGCGGCCGAGAGGAAAGCTCGCACAGGCCAGACTGCGGTAAAGCACTGGGAGGCAAATCCTGAGCACCCGCTCCTCTTCCTTGAAACTGGATTTTAAATTCTCGTGATTGCTCAAGACGGTCATAATTTTTCAGGAGATGAATTTGGGTTTACAAGGCTTGAAATCAGCAGTGCTTCTGCAAGCGCCAGACTGCAGCCCTCTCTGCATCACGTACCCGGGGCAACACAACCTGCCATGCACCCGCCGGGCCCCCTGCCCCAGCAGCCTCCCTGGGCAGCCAGGACGGGGGATGCTGTGGTAGAAAATCCCTTTCCTGCTCTTGCTGTGCCGGAGACACAGAGCGGGAATCGCACCTCTGCTGCTTGGAGAGCTTGCCTGGCAAACTGCTGCAACCTCGAAACTGCTGGCAACCAAAAGCGAGTCACACACTGTCCCCAGCGACGGAGGGTCAGGATCCTGCCCTTGACTTCAAGGCTCTGTGCAGCGTGGGCACCTCAGCCCTCTCCCACAGCCTGCCATGCACTGTGCTCTGCTCAAAATGTAGGGGTGGGTGTCCCGCTCCTGCTCAGTCGTGGCAATGTCCCCGAGCAGACAGTGGCAGGGACAGCCCCATCAAACCCCTCAAACCCAGGAGGAAGACACCGGCTCTGTCTGGGCAGACCTTGATCAGTAGAGAGAGGCGTGGACCTTCCCTCCCGGCCGCGGCTAGCAGCAAGGAGCCGGTTCACCCCGCCAGCCTGGCTCCCCAGCCCCTCTCCGGTGCTCCCCAGGGCGAGCGGCCCTTCCCTGCGCTCGCATCTCGGTGGGCAGCGCGTGCTCACCTTGAGGGGAGTGGAAATGGCAGCTGGAATGTGGGCTGGAAAAAAAAAAGACAGAAAAAAAAAAAGGCGGAGGGGAGAGCAGCATGGGGCTGCAGCTGGAGAAGCAGCTCCTCTTCCTCTCCCTCCTCTGCATCCTCTCCAAGGTAAGGGAGACGGGGCCCTGGGGTGGCTTTAGCCTTACTGGGGGAAGCACCCTGTCCTTGCAAAGCGAGATGCAGGGAGGACTGGGGTGTCAGAACGAGCCCGGTGGCTAACACCGGCTGGCAAACCGTCTGTAATTATGCAGTCCCACAGGGGCAGAGCTTTGCTTGGGAGAGACATTCGTAATTGAGCAGCAGGGGCTTAATGTCCATGAGCCAAAGGCATCCGTTGTGCAAGCCCACGGAGCAGGCAGGAATGACAGCAATGCGCTCTGTTTGCTCGCCCGTCCCTGCAGCTCTCCCAGGCTGTGGTCTGCGTCCCTGTGAGTGGGCGAGCTCGGCGGTAGCGGCTCCTGCAGACTCCTTGGTCCCTGCCCAGGCTCCCGGGCCAAGCAGCGAGCACCAGCCTCAGCATTACTCAGCTCTCACCCCTCCCCGGGATGCTCATGCGAAGCCAATGCCTTTGACAGGATTTGGGTTGTTGTAGTGATTGGTTTTTTTTTTCCCCTTTTGGACTCTGTGTGAAAATAATTGACTGTGTAGAGAACAGGAAAGTTGAAAAGTTTGGGATATCTCAGCTACAAGTTCTAATTGCTGCCTGAATCCCAAAGCAGACCTTCTGCAAGCAGGGAGATCATGGCAGCATCATGCCTGCTTGACTCCTTTCCCAGAGAGTTAAGATCTCTGACAGGAGCCACACTGTCATCTAAAGACAAGCTAATTATAAAGAGCAGGGGAAATGGATTAATGGAGTTGGCTTGGCTAATCTTTCTAAAACATTGATTTGTAATAGCAACCTCCTGAAAGATGAAAAATGCCCTTGGCTGCCTGGGTAAGCTGTGACAGAGAAATGACTCTTGCCCCAGGCGCTCATGAGTGCCTGGAGAACCACCAAGGGCCCTCGTGCCTCCAGCCCAAACCTGGCCACCACAGCCAGTCCTTTGGGCCCTGCCACGAGTGTCTCTCTGGTTTCTGCCACGCTAATAATGCTGCTCTTTGATAAAACTAGAACAAGACAGATTGCCCAGCACATTTTGTATATATTTTATCTCCAGCTGTCACTGACATTTCTACAATCCCATAAAAAGCATCTGAACTGCTGCAGATAGGGAACAGGTAGCACACCAGTACCTACCTTCTCTAACTGGTCACGTCAGACCTGATGCTACGGGGAGAAGCTAAAAGAGAAAGGAAAAAAATGGTATCTAAAACCCACACGGTCCAGCGAACCCATCGATCTCTTGGCAGCCTCAGCAGAGATACCAGTGTCTGGACCAACTCAGGGCTGGATTTTTTGCTTGCACGTTTGCCGACCTGCTGCCTGCGCTTCACGTGCCGGTGGTGCGGCCCCAGAGTGACAGGGCTGCGCAGGGCTGTGGCGCGGGGCTCACGTGCTGCCATCCCACGCGGGCACGGAATTCACTTCCAAACCGCAGCGCCGGCTCACTTGGCTTCAGGCCCGACATGCCCGTGCCAGGTTAATGGCGCGAGCAGAACGGGCCGTGGATGGAAACGGCCACCCGCCCGGGTGAGCTCCTGCAGGCACAGCCCTGTGAGCAGCCGCCTGGGCAGGGAAACCATCGCCGCAGCGATCGCTCAGTCTAGCTAGGAGGGGAAACGTAGCTCCCAGGCCTCGAAAACAAGCCCATCTCAGGGCTCCTCGCCAGCGGAGGATGCTGCAGCGGGGGACAGGCGGAGGAGGCAGCTGGAGGAGGAAGGAAAGCAGTGAGGTTCGCTCGGCTTCAGCTCCCTCACTGCCGAGGCGAGGCCCTGCTTGCCACCGGAGTGAGAGCTGTTCAGACCGTTCGGAGCAAGGTGCTGTGCTCTCACCATGTGCCTTCAGCCCCTGCAAAGCCGCCCTCCAGCTGGGCACAACCCACTGCCTCGGTGGCAGGCGTCGCAGCCCCGCCGCCCCTCCCGTGGGGCTGCTCAGGGCAGCGCGCGGCTGCCTCTGGGGCTGCCAGCCCCATTGAATGACCACCACTACCTGTGATGTTGGCTTTGCAGCTCCATCCTCCTCCTGTGTACTCAGAGGAGTTTCATCCCCACCCTGCGGGGTGCTGAGTATCCCTGATTCTCCCTGGTTTCCATGGGTGCCCATCGCACTGTACCTTTAGAGGGCAACAGCTTTCCAGGCTGCTCCACCATATTCCCACGGATTTGCAGAGCCTCCCTCCACTGAAAATTTGCTTCCATGACTGAGAGAGAATTACCTGGCTCTCCCAGTGCAACAGCAGCCCTTAGCTAAAAACCAGACGGTGTGGAATCAGCGATGGCTTTGCCTCCGCAGGTGTGCGCCCAGCTGTGCCGGAGGCCATGCTACTGCCCCTGGGTGCCCCCCCGCTGCCCCCGCGGGTCCCCCCTGGTCCTGGACGGCTGCGGCTCGGGGGCGGATCTGGCCG